CAGAAATGGAGGCATAACTCCAATGGGAGAGCCCCTGCCTAGCCAGTACAAGGCCCTAAGTTCAAGCTACAATACCACCAAAGAAATAGTCATTGCAATAACCATAGTTAATGTAGGCATTGTGTGGCCTCAGTCTCCCCTTTCTTCCTGCACCCTACTTCTTCCCTTAAGAAGAAGAAGGCCCACAAATGATGCTTAGTAATAAAAGGAGCCACATGGCTTTGGGCAAATCACTTAACATCATCAAGCCTTAGAGTTCTCTGTAACACATGTATAAGATTTGACCTGAGCATAGGTATGGAGGAGGCAAGGGCAGAAGCAGAAATATAGGAGATGAGCCTAGAGTGTCACAGAGTACCAAAAGTAAGAAAATACTTAAAAACAAAACAAAAATCCACAAGAGACGTAGGGGAAAGAACTGAAAAGGTTGGAAGTGGTGCTGTGGCTCAAGTGGTAGAGTGCTCCCCTTGAGCTGAAGAGCTGAGGGACAGTGCCCAGGCCCAGAGTTCAAACCCAAGACCAGGAAAAAAGAAAAGGAAAGAACTGAAAAGGCGCTCCTCATGGAAAAAATCTGAATAACAAAATAAAGTAATACTATATTGGAAGTACAAAATAAATATCCCTGAATGGAAATAAGCGATTATTTGAATAAATAATTAGGTAAGATGAGACAAATCTACTCATCAGAACTCCAAGGAAGTGGCACTGTGGCTCAAAGTGGTAGAGTGCTACCTTTGAGTGAAAAAGCTCAGGGACAATGACCAGGCCCTGAGTTTAAGCCCTGTGGCTAACCAAATAAAACAAACAAAAAAATTCCACAGTATTTTGCCAGGCATGGTGGTTTATGCCTGTAATTCTAGCACTCAGGATACTGAGACATGAGGACTGTGAGTTTCTGGGGTACCTAGCTAAAGCCTGTCTCAAAAACAAAATTATATATATATGTATATATATATATAAAATGAACATATATATATATAATGAATATATATACACAATGAGTTTGTTCGTTCTATACCCTCAAGTAAGGGGTGCACAGCACCCCCCCTTCTTAGTGTGGGCCGTATAGAGTAACTTCTTTCCTAAAAGTACAGTATGAAAAGATATGCTGTGTAGTGGAGAAACCTGACAAACATTTCTTCAGCGAGATGGTCAAGGCTCCCATCAACAGTGTCAGGTTATATTGATAACAGTGCGTGCTATTTACTGGAAGCACTGAGAATGGCACTTTATCTCTGTGGTCTTCCTGTCCAGGATATACCAACCAAGTTTAATCACAAGGCAAGCACCAAATTACAATTAGGGAATAGTTACAAAACATCCAAACCAGCACTCCTCAAAACTGAGGAGGAAATCAAAACCAAGGTAGGTCTAACAACCAAGAGCAGCCTAAATGCAATGTGCTACCCTAGGTGGGACCCTGGGATGGCAGAAGTACATTATTTACACAGAGGAAATCTGAAGAAAACTCAAACTTTGATGAACAACAACACATCAGTATTGAATCATCAGCTGTAACAAATGAGCTACACTAGATGAGATGTTATTAAGAGGAGGAAACTGGGTGTGTGGCATACAGGAACTCTGCAGTGTTTTTGTAATTTCTCTGTAGCCCTAAGAATGTTCTAGGCTGGTCATTGGTGGCTCATATCTGTAATCCTAACTACTCAAAAGGCTCAGATCTGAGGATCACAATTTGAAGCCAGCATGGATAGGAAAGGTCCATGAGACTCTTATTTCCAGTTAACCAGGAGAAAGCTGGAAGTGGATCTGTGGCTCAAGTGGTAGGGAGCCAGCCTTGCATGAAAAGGCAAAGGGACCCAGGCCCTGGGTTCAATAGCATATGAGCACATGCACACACACACACACGCACGCACACACACGCACACGCACGCACGCACGCACGCACACACGCACACACACGCACACACACGCACGCACACACACACACACACACACACAGAGTAAACACTGTTCTAAAATTAAGCTTATTTTTCTACTGTAAAAAGCTCACTTTATCTGCCTCACAATGTTGTGAAGATTCAAATGCATGGAAAGTACTTAGCACAGTGCCTGGCAGGTGGTAGGCACACAATAAATGGCAACTCCGTTATTATTAGGGAGCAGAATACAGAATACGCTGGAGAGTGTGCATAGAAGAATGATGGCTCTAATTCCCAGTTCTGGCGGCAGCTCCTGATCCACAGCACATAAGAACTGCCCCCTCCCAGAGGCCCACCACAGGAGGGTGGCCTTGTCTGTCTCTCTGTAAAACCCTGCAGGCCAATGAGTGGGTGGAGGCAGCAGTGCCAGCTGATACACAGATCACAGCCAAGATTAGCATATTAGAGCTTGCTGATCTACATAGAACCAATCAAAACAAAGGTATGTGCAGCCACGCCCCCGGGAATGGAGCAGCCCTACCAGAGCATTCCCAGCAGGAAGACACTGGCTCCCCTGCAGGGGTACCCACCACTGGAAAGAATGAAGTTGATCAGACACTCTGGATCTTATATTCTAACTCCATCCCTTGTACCAGCTGCCTGTCACAAAGAGAGAGACCCCATTAAACAAGTGCCATGGTTAACATTAGGGCTGAGATCCTTAGCAGACCCTACTCAGCCCAGGAAGTGCAGTGCAGGTACGTACCTGTGAACAATTTGATTGGTGTTGGAGACTTCTAAGGCCCGGAGCAACAACACATCCAGCAGCAACAAATCTAGTTCTCACTGTGGTATTTTTGCCATCTTGGGATTGCAAATGATAGAAACCCCAAAGTCGGGGCTAAGTGGAGGGAGGTGAAATTTATTACAAACACAGAAACTAGCCAGGTGTTAGTAGTTCACACTTATAATTCCAGCTTCCTAGGAAGTAAAGATTGGAAGGAGGCCAGCCTCGAACCAAAAAAAAGCCCACCCCCTCTCAACCACTATCTGGTTGCACCTGTCATCCCAGCAATGCAGGAAGCATACATAAGATTGCAGCTAGGGTAGTGTAGGGGAAAAAGCAACACCTTAATCTCAAAAATAATCAGCAAGCCAGGTGCCAGTGGCTCATGCCTATAATCTTAATTACTCAAGAGGCTGAGACCTGAAGGATTGAAATTCAAAGCCAGGCCAGGCAGATAAGTCTGTGAGACTCCATCTCCAATTAACAAGGAAAATGCCAGATTAGAGATGTGGTTCACGTGGTCCAGGGCTAGCCATGAGCAAAACAGCCCAGCGAGAGCATAAAACTGAAGTAAAAAGGCTTGGGACGTATGGCTGAAGTGGTGGAGCTCCTGCTCAGCAGTATAAAGCTCTAAGTTCACGACTCACTTTGGAATGAAGAAATTCACTCATGCAGTTTGGCTTGGGGCTCAGGGCTGCCGCAGGACCCAGGACTCCAGAGCCTAGGTCTTTATCTACTCTCCCTGCTTGCTGGCCTCCTCTCCCAATGCTTGCCAGGCAGAGAACCAGGGCACAGGCAATTCTCCGTGGTCATCAGCTTCACCAGCACCACCAGCAAAGGAAAAAAGGAGTACTCACCTCTCTCTTCTCATCAACTTCCAGTTTAAAAAAAAATACTCTCCAGACAAGGAGATTCGTCCACCTGGTTCCCACGTTCACCTCCAGGTCCCAGGTTCCAAGGAGGCGGAGTCATGGGAGATTTTGGAACAAGTGACAGAAGCCACAGTTGTTTAAATAGAGAGAAATGGCCTCAGGAAATTCTAAGTATGTATAGAATTGTGGTTTGAGTAACTGGCAGGGGAAAGTACAGAACTCCCATAGATCACAGTTAGCAGCTGCCTAGAACAGCTTCAAACCTTAGGACTGTGGGGAGGAAGGAGAGAGGTCAGAATAGTTAAACATTTACAAATTTAAGGAAGAACCCTGACAGCTAAAGAGCTCAAGCTGGTGGCTGTGTCTGAAGGACACCATGAGGCTGCTTCAACACAAGTCAAAAACAGCAAAATGGGGGCTGGGAAGGTGGCTCAGTGGTAGAGCGCTTGCCTTGCATGCTCAAGGCCCTGGGTTCGATTCCTCAGCCCCATATAAGCAAAAAGAAAAAAGCCGGAAGTGGCGCTGTGGTCAAGTGGTAGAGTGCTAGCCTTGAGCTGAAGAGCTGAGGGACAGCACCCAGGCCCAGGGTTCAGGCCCCACGTCCGGACCCAAAACAAACAAACAAACAAACAAAAAACAACAACAGCAAAATGGATTCAGCTGAGGTCACTGCTGTGGGTGGATAAGGAACATAACCCCACCGTGGACTATTATGCACCAGTGAAAAGGAAAAGATTAAGATACATGCTATCTTAATATATGTCAGCATATTAAGAATTACTCAATGGTACACTTAAAAGTCAATTTTTTTGGCAGTACTAGGGTTTGAAGTCATGTAGTTGATACTTCAGGAAGTATTTTACTTAAAAAAAATTCAAGTAGAAAAAAGCATAGGAAGAAGCAAATTTCTTCACTGTGTGTGTGCAGGAAAGGTGAAGTGATTATTTTATGTCAACCAACACGTGTTTCCATGACCTTAAAAGTTGTGGGGAAACCTCTTCCACCAGCAAGCACAGAGTTCTGCCACAGCGGGCAGAGGTGGAGGTCTCCAGCCCGACTCTGATGCTGTGTCCATGGAGAGTTCCAATCCATCCCCTGGCGCAGAGCATCAAGTACCTATCATCTGACCAAACAGCTGCCCAGCAGGCTTCCCAGGACCTGTCTTGGGTCCATTCATTTGCTCCAGTGGCTCATGGAACTCAGGGAAGCATTTGTGTTTACTGGTTTATCACAAAGGACACAGAAGATGAGGTATAGAAGACAAGGTGGGGGAAAGGGGTACCACCCATGGGCGCCCCAGAAGTTCCGTGAGCCATGACCTCTTCTCTGGAGGCCTCATGGCACAGGTGATGGCTGAGCGCGCCTGGGGAGAGGCAGGTCTGCTTCTGCATTCTTCTCGGCCTCTCTGTGCTGCCCTCCTCTCTTCCAGGTGTGACCTATCTGACAAGCTGGGCCACCTCTGAGACAGAAAGGTGGGAAAGAGAATTTCTAGTTCCTATGGCCTGCCTAGAGGAGAGACATCTGAGTCAGGACACATGCCTTCCTTTCTCTCCAGTGCTCCCTCTCCTCAGAGCTCTGGGAAGGAAGGCTTTGTGGCTACAACAAAGAATCTCAGCCCCTGCACCCCAGACCAGGGCACAGCTGGTGCCTTGGGAGCAGAAAAATCATTAGTAACCGTCACAGAGAGGTAAGGGATTCCAGACAAGGGCTGGAAAAGAGGGGATGAATGACTGAGCAACGCTTGTGTTAGATAAGTGAGAGTGGATTTTATCCCTTAGTAGAGTTGTGAATTAAGAGGTGGCCCAGGAGAACTAGCCTTGTTTCTGAAGACTTGGTGGGCAGGGCTACCCTGTACTCAAGGACCACAGAATCCCGACACTCAAAGAGCTTGCTGGGCTTGCCTGCAGTGGGGGGAACTCAGCTAAAAGCAAAAAACAATGGTGCAGTGGTTTCTGTCCTGTACTTTCATGTGTGTGTGTGTGTGTGTATAAATAAGACAGTATTTGAGTATTTCTGGTCTCACCACAAAACAGAGAAGCATCAGCCCCGGGTGCACTGCCTTTGAGTATTGGGGCTCCCTTTACTGGTGTGTTTCACTGCAGACATTGCAGGCTCATGGGCTGTAGTTGGGGGCTAAGTCCTGGCAGGGAGACCAGCCTGGGTGTAACTTCCACAACTGGAGAGCCACTCTAGAACTGGGGAACTCTCTAGAATGCAGGCTGAGCTCCAGGAGGTTGGAGATGCCCTTGGTCTTGTGTGTCCAAGAAGCCGTGCATGGCGGTGATCTGGCTGCTGGTCCATGGACTACATGTTTGGAACAGTTTGCATCTACAATTCCTCTGTCTGAGCTAGGAAGCCTTGGCTGCTTTTGGAACATGCACCTGCTGGATGCTCGGTTCCAGAGCAGCTCATGGGACCCACCAGCCTCTCTGGAGGCTCTTCTTGATCCACAAGACATACTTCCCAACATCCATCCCAGTGAGTGCCTAAAACACAGGTGGTACAAAAACTTGTGTACTGTTTTCCTATTCATACAGAATCAATGATACAATTTATCCTAACTTACAAGTCATAACTTACAATTTTAATTTAGCTTACAAATTAGGCACAGTAAAAGCCAATGACAATAGCTAAATCAGTAGAGCAATGACAACAACATACTATGAGAAAATCGCCTTAGGTGTTGGAAATATTTTTAAATTTTTATTATTTTAAGTTGCCTTACATGTTGGAGCTTTTTATGTTTTATTTATTTTAGATAGGCTCTTGCTCTGTAGCCCAGATTGGCCCCAAACTGCCTCAGTCTCCCAAGTGCTGGAAATAAAGCCACCATGTCTACCTGGGAGCCATTTTCTTTTTTCTTTCTTTTTTTTTTTTTGGTTGGTCGTGGGCTTGAACTCTGGGCCTGGGTGCTGTCCCTCAGCTCTTCAGCTCAAGGCAAGCACTCTATCACTTGAGCCACAGCACCAATTCCAGTTTTCTGGTGGTTAATTGGAGATAAGAGTCTCACAGACTTTCCTGCCTGGGCTGGCTTTGAACAGCAATCCTCAGATCTCAGCCTCCTGAGTAGCTAAGATTACAGGTGTGAGCCATCAACACCTGGGTTTGGGAAGTAAAATGATGAGTTTCTAGAACCTAAGCCCTGTGGCACTGGGATGGCTTATCTGAAGTATCAGTAGGAAACGCAAATGTTATTAAGATGATACACATGTGGGCATAGCCAATCAGTAGGGAGTAGCATGAAGGAAACTACAGCAGTGGAACTGTTCAGGCAGGGAATATATCCCTTTGGGCCTGTCTTTGGGCAAGGATGGGTACCTACAAATAGACGGCAGATTAACAGTAGCCAGAAATCAGAGTGTTAAGGACGGCAGGGCTTACTGACAGCTGGAGGGCCTGGGCTTTGCCATCCACATTCTGCCCCCACTCAGCTTCTTCTCCCAGCCTGCCAGGTGCGGAAGGTGCCCAGGCTCTTCGGGCTCTAAGACTGGTCCCCACCAGCTCTGCATCTGGAAGCATTAGCTTTCAAGTTTTAAGAACAACTCCCCCAAACCTGGAAAGCAGACAAGAAGATGTCTTTCCAATACTTTGCTGAAATATTAAATCTTCCCATTGATAACTTACCTTTCTAGATGAATGTATTGTCATTGGACTGTGCTATTATTTTAAGGCTCAGACTGTGAAATTATGTCACCTTGTAAAGTGGTGCAGAAGCAAATAATTTTGGCCTAGTAAAAATGATACCCTCCCAAGTTTAGGTTTAATTGCCATGTAGGACATTAACAAGATTCGGATCTAACCTACATATCAAATAGTCTTCTTTAACAGGGTTATATAAACCCCAGAGCCTCAAATACTGTTGAATCAACCTTACTAGTTGCTTGCTTCCCACTAGTGAATGAGTTAAGGTTCTTAATATGTGAGTATATATATTTGTAAGAAAGGCATGTTTTCAACTTCTGAATATTAAATATTAAAAGCTAGGTTTAGGTATTATGAGACAAAAATGTGAATTGCAATTAATAGGACCAGTACTAAGATAGTCATTGCCATGTTCCACACTGACTGTCCACAAAAGGCACCAGAGGTCCCAGGTGAAAATCTTAAAAGTCCATTGGAAAGACCAGGTGAGAGTTGAGACTGTTTCTAGATGGGTGGCTTAGCTGGAAGCTCCATGGAAACCTTGGCTTCACGCTCATGCCAAATTTCATGGTGACATCAGTGTGTAGGAGTAACACTGGGGAGACAGCAGTGGCCCCCTAGATGAGGGCATTTGGACCAGGTTAAGCAGGGCAGGACACAGGTGCTGCCAGGCTATACAGGCTGGTTTCATCAAGGTACCACATGGCAATGCTGACAACTGAGACCAAGGTCTTACTTGAATCCTAATCAGATCTTCCCACCAGGGTCTCTCTTGCCTGGCATTCAGAGTAAGGTCTGACACTGGCACTGCAAACTGGCAAATCAAGTCATACCAATTATATACACATTAAAGTATGTAAGAGATGGTCTATTATCTTTACTCTCTCCCTCCCTCCCCCCTCTTACAAACTTGCTAAGAGTCTGCTCTGGAAGTGCAGGTAAACACCCATAAACTCCTCCCAACCCCACGAGGTCAGATGGAAGACCTCTCAGGGCAATGACAGTCCTGTGGGCACTGGAACCACAGAGACCACCAGGAGGCTGGTACAGGATTATATGCTGATGTGGGCATGCAGGAGCATTCTCTACCACGGTGTAGATGAAGCTAGTAGTCTATGATAGAAGCAATAAAATATGGATGCCCCCATACCATAGAGTAACACCCCTTAGCCCCACAAAACAGCCCAGGATTAAGCCAGGCTGTCATGCTGCAGGAAGAAAGACACATGTTTAAGCTATTGCCAGTTTGGGTCTTGACTACAGCAATCACTCCCAATATCCTAAATAAAATAGTATTCTCAAGTTGTCTGAAAACGTCAACTTCTCTTTGCTCCCTGACCCCGGGGTGGGAGCTGCTTCCTCTGGTCCCCAAACCCCTTATCTCAGGGGTCCCTTTGCACTACCTCCGGTCTCCCTTACCTGTTCACGACTCCTCATAGCAAACGACACAGGAAGTATCCATGTGGTCCTTGTATGTCCTGAGTATGGTGGGGTGAGGAGCCCAGGGCAGGAACCCCCAACTGAGACAGTGGGCAGTCAGGCCCTGTAGGACAGTATTACAGAATTGCACAGGCACACCAATCATTCTGAGTGAGACAACTCCAGATGCTAGGCAACCGTGATCACAACACATGTATCTTGTCCCCTTCAATTGCCCCCATCTGTCACGGTGAGAGCAGGGCAGTTCCTAGTGTGTCCTGAGAGGAACAAGCTAGGAGGACGGGGACACACTCAGAGCCTGAGTTCTCCCTGGCTCTCTGAGGCACACCAGCTCTGCACACCTGCACAGAGCCTCTGGTGGGATTCGGGAAGTTGGACAAGGGCAGCCCACAGATCCTCTGCTCTGCGCTCACAGATTCAGCCCATCAGGGATGGAAAATATTTGGGGAAAGAGTGCAGACTTGTCATGACGCCCTAAACCACACCGTTGACACCTACTTCTGCAGTGCAAACATTGTTTTAGGGGCTGTAAGCAATATAGCGGTGATTTGAAGTACACAGGAGGATGTGCAGGAGTGGTCTGCTCATTGTGTGCCATTTTACACAAGGCATGTGAGCATTCAAAGATTTGGGGTATCCCCGTGGGAATGGCGGGGTGACTTGTAATGCACTTTGTGCCACTGATTCTGCAAGCCTCTGGGTATCGGAACAGACGATCTTGATTGCGAGTTTCATGATCACAGAGCCCAATTTACACTTGCCAGGGCAAAGAACCTACATGGGGCAAATGTAAGTAGGTGCAGGAGTTGAGCAATAATTATGAGTGGCCAGGGGAGTGCCTACTGTCGAGCCGATTCCCAAGTCCCTCATACATTTATTCCTTATTCTTCACCTTGCTTCTGAAGAGGTCTATAGTGGGGGATAACCTTTGCAGCTTACCTGCTTACCTACTGCCTACCCTACGCCCTGCCCCTACTCCCACTTGCTCAGTCTCTACCAGAGTGTAGTGGGTGCCTGCTGCCCTCTGGTGGCAGTGTCTTGCCAGGGACACTAGGCAGGCAGAGCCACTTCTTTCCTCACATGTCATTTGCAGACGGGGAAGCTTCCTAGGCCACGCCCTGAGCACACTGTTCCCATCTGTGGGGCTGGAAGCACTGTCTATACATGGCCTCCCTCAGAGCCGGCTGTGTGAGATAGGCACACATAACTGTATAGACATCAGAGCTCTCCTCCCGCGCCTCTAGAAAGAAGCAGTTTTTCTTCTTTCTTTTGCCAGCCCTGGGCTTGAACTCAGGGCCTGGGTCCTGTCCCTGAGCTTTTTCAGCTCAGGTTAGTGGTCTACCATTGAGCCACAGCTCTACCTCTGGTTTGTTTTTTCTTGGATGATTCATTGGAGATAAGTCTCTCAGACTTTCCTGCCCAGGCTGGCTTTGAATCTCAATCCTCAGAACCCAACTCCCGAGTAGCTAGCATTATAGGTAGGAATGAGCCACTACAGCTTGGCTCAGCAGTTTCCTTTTAGGCGCCAGGTTTGTGGGTCTCTGAAGAAAGGAAAATCCTGAGTCCCAAAGCTGATCAACAGCTCCACCTCTTTTTCATCTCCCTCCCTACTCCGCAACTCTTTGAGATCTTTCCTGGTGCTTCTGCTGGCCTATCATCTCAGACTGTGAGCTCCCAAGTCAGCAGCTGTCATGTCCACTTACTGCATCTAGCACAGGGCTGGGCAGAGGAGGTACTGAATGTTGCTTGGCTAGCACAACTTGTCAATTCCCCCAGGAATCCTTTTTTTATACCTTCCTATTATCCCGTGTCCATTAGATTTCCCCTCTCCCTCAATAGCAGTGCTCCTTCCCCTGGATTGCAGTCCTTTCCCGCGAAGTGCCCTCCAGCCAAAGGAAGCTGGCTTTCCCAGGGCCAGTCTGCCAAGAGAGCACCCATACCCCACAGCAGCCACTTGAGACTGACCCTTACCTCTGCACCTGGTTTAAGACAACTTGCATGGAACCTTGGCAATTCAGATTGGTTGAGCCCTGTGTTGCAGCTGTGACTTCTCCCTCTGCTTCCTTCACCCTTCACATACTAGGGCTCTTGGTGTCCAGAGAGACAGCAAAAGGCTGAGGGAAATTACCTACTTAAGGCAAAATGTCAAAGTCAGGAGAGCCTCATTTGGCAGTATGTGGGAGATTCCTATCTCTGCAGCCAGAGGGCAGCAGCAACCCCGGCTCTGAAGAAGGAAGCACAACTGCAGTGACCGGCTTCTCCCTTAGTCATGTGTGATGCCAGAACCTTAGCTGGAAAAGAGCTGGGAGTGAGAGGGGGCTTCTACTGGAGCTTCCTGTGATATGAAAACATCCACCTGGAGCCTGTGAGGAACCTGAACCTCACACCCTCCAAACACGGACTGCAGAAGTTCTCCCTTCTGCTTGATGACAACTCAAGGGCTGATCTTCAACTCCATCATCGACTCCCACCTCTTTTCCTGCTGCTTGGCCAAGCACCATGGCCAAACACAATAAAAGCTGGCTAGAAAAGGGGGGAAGAGAACTACCTACAGTAGAGCTGTGAGAACTAAGCAGGGTATACTGGCAGAAACTGGGAGACTGTCTGAGGCTAACTATGGAGGTGCTGAGTTAAGAACAGAATGTAAAGTGGAGTAAGAGTCCTTCAAGATGAGAATACTTTTCTATGATATAAAACAATACCCTGGAAATGTCCCTAAAAGATCATATCAGTATGCTAAGTAGATTCCTAAAAAAATTGGGGGAAAGCAAAAACTTACAGCAGGCAAAGCAGAAATACCAGATTGCCTTGCTAAAGAGGTAAAGAACAGGGATCCAAGGTAGACAGAAGTAGGTCTGTTATGGCCAGAAAACCCTTGGCTTCGTTTAGCTGAGTGGTAAGAGATTTGTTGGAACAGGAGCCCAGCACTGCAGAGAAAGCTCAGGAGACAGCCATCCTGAGCTAGTCAAAGGGGAGACTAGTAGATGCTATTGCAGAGCTGGCTTCCTTAACAGCAATGATGGGCCAGGAAGCAGGTGACATCAGAAGCAAGGTGGATTTGATTCCTGCAATAAAGAGCCCAGGGAGCCCACGCTAGAGGCAAAGGAGAAATGGTTAAGAGAATGCGGCACTGCAAAGGACAAGCTGGATAGAGTGGCAGTGAAGAGCAGCAACACTCGGTCTAGACAGTTAAAGCAGCTGAGGAATATCCTAATAAAATGTCCATGTGTTGCCCAGTTTCTAAACTTGAGCCAAACTTCAGACCTAGAGTTGACAGAAATAAAAAGAAGGAACACTGTAATACCATAGATGTTTGGCCTTTCAGAGGGACCTGTGGGCCAAGATCACGATCCAGAAGTCTTGAAGTTGGGCACTGACACAGATGTGTGACTGGCACAGTCAACGCGGATTTTGGGCACCAAAGCATCATCATGACCTCTGTGACAATTGGAGTGGGAAAGGCATGGGGAGGACATATACAGGGGCAGCTAATGAAGTCCTAACAGATCTCACACGTCTTCTAGACTAAGTACCTGGCCTGTGGTTCCCCAGACCTTCTGGACATGCTGAAGAATGTACCACTGGCCCACTGCACCAGTGACATTGAGTAAGTCAGCCAGAATGAGCAAGAAGTGGAAAGTATGGTGCAAAATTAAACCTTATGAAGATTTAGGAAATGGCAGGGTCATGACCTCTGAAATAAAGGCCCCTTTTGTTCAATCACAAAAAAGAAATCATAAAGTCCCAGAAATCACCTGGGCCCTGAGGTCAGCACAGTGTAATTCACAGGAACACCACTTTGATCTACTTGCCAAGACACACAGAAAGCTACAAACAAGCTTTGGGTTGGGAAGGAACAGGAAATGGCTGCAGTCAGAGCTGGATGTGGTGTAAGTAGCCTTGTCACTTGGTCCATACATCTGGGAGATCTTATGGTATTAATATGTATGACTGGGCAAAAGTTCCATACAGTTTACGATAAACATAATTGGAGAATCACAATGTGGACCCAGGGGGTTCTGGACAGCCCTTGAATCTGAAATAATTACATAGCTTTATTAAAAAGTTTTTGGCTTACTACTGGGTCTTAGTAATGTGTGAGATCACATAACCTGTCAGACAATGGGTCTAGCATCAGTCCATCATAGGATGGAAGTGGCAGATGAGATACTGGACATCAACAGTTAGCTAGCAGTTGCACAGATGCCTTCTCTCAGCCCACACCTATGGCAAGGGATGAAGTGATTCCCTTATAACCAATGAACAGAGGGGTACAGATTCACAGATGGGCTGTTCAGTATGTAGGCACAAGTCAGGTGGCCCTAGGGAAACACTGCATTGCAGTCTATCTAGTAAGTCTATCTAGTCATCTACTTTGTGCAGGAAGGGGACAGGCCTAAGGACAGAAAAAACAAGGACTTATTGAAATAGCCACTGGCTTTGCTCCCTGGTAAGGGACAGAAGAAAGATAAGAGTAGAGACACATGGCAGATTCATGGAGTAGGCCATACAAAATATGTCGTTAAGTCTAGGGAATGGATTTAATTAATTAACCCACTATATTTTATCAAACACCATCCTATTCAGCTCAAAAAAAGATAAAAGTTCATTTAGCTTTTATTTAAGGAAATGTCCTCCGATTGGCTCATGCCTATAATCCTAGCTACTAAAGAGGCTGAGATCTGAAACTCTGGTTCAAGTGGTAGTCTTGAACACAAAAAAGCTCAAGGGCAACTCACAGGCCTGAGTTCAAGCCCCAGTACTGGCAAAAAAAGAAAAGAAAAAAAATGTTAAGCTCAGGACTAGAAAAGTGCGGGCGTTAGCTATCTTGTTTCTCCTACTGCTGTAGCTCTATCACCCCCAAGTGCTACGTCTGATACAGGAAGGGTTAAAAAGAACCAAGCCCATAGAAGCGACTGCCACTATGTGGCAAACACTGATTTCTAAATCACCAGTAACAGAACCTGAAATCCCATCATCACCTGCCGTTTTTCATCATAGTAATAAGATCCCGGGCATCTTTCATAAGTTCAGACCCAGAAATACACTCTACAAGAGTTATACTAAGTCTTGACAAAGGAGTTAAAAAAAAATACATTGCAGAAAGAATCTCTATTTTAAAACTGGTTATCTACATGTGAAAGAAAGTAAATTCCTAGGGGCTGGGAAGGTGGCTCAGTGGTAGAGCGCTTGCCTTGCATGCATGAGGCCCTGGGTTCGATTCCTCAGCACCACATAAGCAAAAAGAAAAAAAAAAAAAGAACATTCCTCTCTCGTTTAGTACAAAAATTAATCAATAGATCAAAGATTTTATAGACCTGAAATTCTAAAAATGGTGACAGGAAGTGCATGGGGTAAACACTTGAAGGTATAGGCACAACTACTTTCCGAATAGGATCCCAATTGTTCAGGAAATAAGCACAAAAACTGACAAATGGGATTGCATCAAATTAAAACCTTTTTCAGGCTGGGCGTGTGGCTCAAGTGGTAGTTCTCTAGTCAAGTTAAGCAAGGTGAGAGTATGAGGCCCTGAGTTCAAGTTCTGGTACCACAAAAAATAATAAAAACCTTCTACATATCCAAAGAATCAATGACCAGAATCAATCAACAACTCATAGAATGGGAGGAAGTGTTTGCCAACTATTCACAGGATAAAGAAATTATATCCGGAACATACAGAGCTAAATTAAAAAAACAACAACACTAAAAGAACAACCCAATTAACAGGCCAATAAATTGTGCAGGAGCAATGGCCTACCTCACCTTCGCAGACATTTGGGCAATGACCTCAAACCATAGCAGAGGCTGAGTGGTCCTTACCTAAATGCTCAGGATCAAGATGATTCTGGATTTTTTTTGGACTTGGGAATGTTTGCACAGACTTCCAGAAATGAGTATCCCTAAGTTTAAAACCTGAAATCCCAATCGATTTTAGCAACCATGGGAAATTTGAACCTCCCCACTAAGGATGCTCAACCTGATTCGACATTTCATTAATTGCCATAGGAGGAAAAGCAATTTCACTTAACAAAGTTCTTGATGAAGTGATAAAAAGTAATTTTATTAAATCCTTTCTGTTTAGATCTTTTCAATATCCTATGGGATAAAATGGGAGGTACACATAAAGCACTTCTACAGCATAATCAAATACAGTCTCAAAAGTCTGAATGAATTGTGAGCTGGGCTATTCACTTTTTTTTTTTGTTCCCCCTTGAATGATTAGTGATAAAAGTATGATCCAGGTCAGTTTACTAGATATGTTCTTTAAAATGAAGTTAGCTTGTTGCTTCAAAAAAAAAACTGACAATATTTGTTGCCAGTAATAGTTTGTACCTTTATGCAAAAACTCAAATTTTTAGAAAACTGGTATCTGCTTTAGGCCTTATACCTTCCTCATAAAGGTGTACCAAATGAAATCAATATTGAAAAATGTGATTAAAATATTGTAAAGCATATCAACCTTTAGAATATTTGAATAACTAAGGGAATGAGTATTTTCTAAACAATGAAGCATGCACTGGCAAAAACAATACATTCTAAGTATAATAAACCAAGAAATTTTAATTTAATTCAGGACAAGTGGGATTTCGTGCTGTAATTAACTTGAAGATGTTACTTGTCAAATTCTAGTGTAGTACCACTATGAGAATATGCCTCCTTATCTCAGTTTTTTTCAACCCTTTCCAACCCTCTCCATGCCCTTTTGTTCTAGGCCTGCTTTGGATGGCAGGAGGACAAAAGGAGGAGAGTAGAGAAAGGAGTAAGAGAGCAGAGGGGAGAGGCAAGGGACAAAAGTGAGGAAGAGAGAAGCTAGGTTTCCTTCACATTCTTCAGCCAAAATATGAACCATGCTACAGGTAGTTCTTTTTAATATGGAAGCATTATTTTCAAGTGAAATGTTAACATCTACTCAGTTCATTAGAAGTATCTTTAAGTATCTTAATTCCTGTAAATCATACAAATCCTCTTTAAGATTCCTCAGTAACTTTTAAACTCTAAAGGCATCCCAATATAAAAAAAAAACTGAAACTTGCAGTCCTAGAAAAACTCAATTCAAAAAAAAAATAGAAAATGAGAATGTCTTTAAAGAAACAGCACCTAAAAGTAAAAGCCTTCTTCTAAAGATAATTCTACCTCTTTTGCTTCACTAGTGTTCTAGTGTTCTAACTATTGAAGGAGGGAAATAACTTACATTGATAAAAAGCCTCAGTGTCCTGAAAGATGACTTGCAAAAATGAGAGCAAATGTCTGCACTTATGGCTACCTCAGTTTCCGCTGGCCATCTGTTCCAAACTTGCTTTGGATCACCTAATTTCTTAGGTGATCTGATCTTTGTTTCTTGAAAACGACACTCAAGTCCTGGAAAGTTAGTCACAAACCTATGGTGGGATACTGTCATTCACTGTGTTGTGCCCTGTTAAGGGATTCAATCAGACACAATGGGATGGGAATGGATTCCACTCAGGGCAGGACACTGATGTACCAGAGCCAACCATGGATATTCTATTTCACTTGCCACCAACTGTTTGAGAAAATCAGGTCACCACAAGTTACAAATTTTGCATATGTCATATTTT